GGGGGGGGGGGGGGGTCATTGGTTAATTAATACCTTAATGGATGGTCATGCTTATTGTGGAACTGGCAATAGCAAGAACATCAGTGATGGTAAATGTACAAACATCTAGCCTGGCACTAAAATGGCTAAATCTTAAAGGGTGATACCGACAGTTTTGGACATGTGGGTCCTCTGTCTGATGCTTTGCGGGGAATTAGCATCTTGAATAACTTGCTTGACATGTTTTTCTGTTACTGAGATAGCCAGCGGCTGTTGGAGCATTACCGTATTTTGACACATCTGGCTTTAAAACAGAACTTGTTCAAATCACCAAATAAGTCAAAAGAACACGATCACCCCGATGTCTCTCCGGACTTCAAGGTGTCGTGTTGTTCCTTTGTGCTCCTTTGTCCTTGTTCTATAAAACTAAATAAATCAACTATAAAACGCACCAGAAGTCAGATTTAAGAGCTATTTGTCTGGATGTAAATGGAAGCGATAAGCTCCAACAACCACTCTAACTCAGTAACAGAACAAATGCAAACACTTGGAATTTGTTGGAGACCAGCGTGACACAGGACCCACATGTCACCAACACCGCTATCGCCCTTTAAACTCAATACGTCATGCAAAACAGCCCTCTGTCTTTTCATTGATGCTTAACTGCTGCTTCGCAACTCATATCAATTGCACCTCGCGTACGGGCCGACAGACGTTTAAACTCAAGGGAAGTGTATATTATAACGAGAAGAACATGAATCGACGTGACTCTTTCTAGCTTACGTAGTACACAGATAGTCTAGGTCCATTCATAAACAAAGTAGGCGTGTTTAAAAAAAAGGTGTAGAAAGTAGGAAAAAAAAAAAGAAAAAAGAAGAGAGCAGGTTAAGGAGTAAAGAGTAAACAGCGATGAGAAGACAGAGCACACCAGCGAGGAAAAGAAAAAGGGAAATCACCTGATATCTTCTTGTTGCCTCACCTTTCTGTTTGGTCACCTTTCTCACCGTCATGGCCGCCTGGCGCTTCTGGTACTCAGAGATCTCGAAACCTGAACAAACAAACGGAACCGCAATGCATGTGAGTAACACGTGGCAAAGCCATAAGAAAGTCACCCTGTAGCACGCTGCAGCACATACAACATGTAGCTCCAATGTCCACTGTGAATGGGAGTAAAGCTTTCCAAACAGGGAGGTACAGAGGGATGCGTGACTAACCGATTTTCTCATCCTCCTGCACCATCTTCCTCTCCTCGTGGAAGGCCCTGAGCCAGCGGATCTTCTCCTCCGGCTTCTTGGCCAGGAAGATGTGGATCTCCTCGCTGTCTTTGTTGCACAATTTGAAGGCGTTCTTCACGCTGACGTTGAAGTCGTCGTCACGCCCGTCAATGGCGTCCCGCACATCGTAGCGGTCCATGTCGATGCGGCCCTTATAGTACAGGATGTCCCGGCGTATCAGATCCTGGGGGAGAAGAGGAGGAGGAGGAGTGGTCTGTTAATGCGCATGTGTGTGTGTGTGCTGAACCTTAAGAGGTGTCAACAAGCATCCTTCACTTGGTGTCCGGAGAGTCTGCTGCCTTGTGCGACCCTTTCCATCTGCTGCCCAGACATACAAACACATTGCAGAGTGCCAGATCACAAATGGTAGAGAGTAGTATTTCAACATTGGCGAGTACACGCAGTAAAATCTCATGTACAAGCATGCTGCGATAGATCCCATCTTTGTGAAGCTTATGCTGGCCAGTTTTTGATGACAGCTTGTGTCAGACAGGTGTGATTTTGCTGTATTTGACTGTGAGGCTGCAACCAATGATTCATTTCATTACTGTTATTCTTCTCAATTAATCCCTTAGTCAGAAAATGTGCAAAAATATCTCAATTTACAATCCAAACATTAAACCTGCAAATGTTTAGATTTGAGGAGCTGAAACGAAAAAATTGTTCAATCTTCAACATTATGAATCAATTATCTAATCAGTTTCAGACAAATTTTCCGATGATTGTCCTTCCATCAAGGAGTTTTTGAGGGCACCATATAGTGGATACATTTAAAATGGTGGACCGTACTACAGTACTACAGTACTCCGGAGTATATAAGGAGTGCCTCAGTGAAGTACAGATAAACACAAGAGTATGACACTAACCTTGTGACTAAAAATAGTGGGTATCTAGTTTCTTCTTAATCCATAAAATATCAAAAAACTATAAATATTTCATTTAGATTTTTCAACTTCTGTACACTACGACAGGGTAGCATCCAGCAATTATTTTCATCATTAATCTCTGAATTGTTGTTGAGTAATTGATTCATTTTTGGTCCAAAAAAATGTCAGAAAATAGTGAAAAATGCGACAATTTCCAAAGTTGACATTTCCAAATATCTCATCACAGTTTTCTTAAACCCCCAATTATTATGTTCTTAAACAAATAATCTATTATAAAAGAATAATATAACTGGTCCACCTCTACAGCAGATCATCATAAGTAACCTTGACCTGTGGTGCTTTGCCGGAATAAGACGTCCCCATGAAAAACATCCTCATCTTGACCGTTGCCTTCGGGACCAAATTACCAGCAGTCACACTATCAGGTCAAGGAAGGTAAAAAAATATAAAAAAATAAACAAGAGCAGGAATCTTTTAACAAGCTACATGCAACGTGTGACTTACACACCCCGAGGGCTGAAGTGACATATGTTGCACTGAGGACGTGTGGAACAAAGACTAAAATCTACCATTCAGTTGTTTATTTAGTGGACCAGATCCGCTAACACGCACGGGGATCTGCAGAAATTCAGAGTTCATTTCGGGGTGTCAGAGATGTTCGACAGTGATAGAAGTGAGTCGGTGGGGGTTAGACACTATATCTGTATGTCTTTGTTAGTTCCCTTTGTGTGTGTGTGTTTGTCCGTGTAATGGTGAAAGTATTGCTCCGCTGTGTGTACACGTGCGTGTTGATGATGCAGCTCTCCCGCCTCTGTGTGTTTGTCGGCCTGCATTCGCGTCCGTGTCTCTGTGTGCATGTATTGTTGGGTCTAGTCGAGCGTGAACATCTGTCTGACAGGAGAGCGCAGCCTCGGTGCATTAGAGCCCAAACTACCACCGCTCCATTTTGTGAAAGGTGCCGAGGATTTGATTGCATTCTTCGCCGAGGGCGGGTGTAATCTATTCGCGGCTCTCGAGTGCGGTTGAGGAAGTCGTGTGGTCTTCAAGCGTCTCCGTCACCAGCCATTTCAAGAACACAGGCCGAGGGTGTTTTTTAGCTTTTCAGCTTGTTTTCAGCAAGTAGGGTCGTCAAAAGAAATAAAGGAAGGAAGTGAACAAAGAGAGAGAGAGAGAGAGAGAGAGAGAGAGAGAGAGAGAGAGAGAGA